TATATATCATTTGATACGGCAAAACGTGCCTCATCGAAATAAAGGTTTTAGAACCTAGGACCAATGAATTTCAGAACAGGACATTTGGAATCGATCTAGCGATGTCCGTCTGGCTGGCTAGTGCGCACGATAATTCTCGAAAGGAGTATCCGATTTGGTCTAAATTTTCTACATCATAATATTATTATCAAACTTAAATCGAGTTTGGAGACATGGAATATCGGTCCACTCCTTCTTGTACCTCCCCCACAAATTTTGAAAACTTACAACTCTTATTAATTGTGATGTAAGATGAGTCCGATTGCCTTCAAATTACACATATCACAATATTTTTATTAACCCAAGGTCTGGTCTGAAGATGGAATATATCGGTCCACTCCTTCTGGTAACTCCCCCACAAAGGGTCAACATTTTCTATATACGTGAGGCTCATAAAATGCGAAATTAACATCCGATTCCATTCAGACTTGACAAATCTCAAAATTTCTATCAACACAAGATCTGTTATAAAGATGGTAGAGTTCGGACCATTCCTTCTGATACCACCTCCACAATGGGTCAAAGTTTTGAAACACCACAACGATTTTAAAATCCTAAATAAGCATCCAGTTATCTTCATATTTCACACATAACAATATTTTAATATTTATTAACTCAAAGTCTGATGGGATATATCGGTTCATTCCTTCTGGTACTTCCCTCACAAAGGGTCAAAATTTTGAATAACCATGCAGATCATGAAACGCGAAATAAACATCCGATTCCATTCAGATTTGACAAATCTCAATATTTCTATCAACACGAGATCTACATATTATAAATATGAGATCGGACCATTTCTTCTCGTACGTCCCCCACATAGGATTCAAGATTTTAAAAAACAAAAAGCTCAAAGAGAGCGAAATAAGCATGAAACTTGCTATGGTAAGATCTATTGTGGGTCACAATTTTCAATAGTTTTATCTGTCATAACTTATACAGGATGAGATAAAAAAACTGCAACAAAGTCAAACACCATAATTTTTACATTTTTTAATTTTATTTAATGAAAGCAAAAAATGTCGGAAATCGCAAAATAGGAGAACATAACATCCTAAATATTCGTCGTAGACCCCATAAAGCAGAAGCATAAAATTCTAAGTCGATCTGTCTGTCCGTTGAAATCACGATACAACCCACATTATTTGACGTAGAGTCGTAATTTTGACGTAGTCAAAATTTAGCAGAACAATTTGTATTGTGTCTAGAATGGTTGGTATTGAAAATGAGACATGTAGGTCCACGTTTTGGTATAGTCCCCATACAACGGTACCTCCCGATATTCGGTATTTTGATGATTTTTGCAACATTTTTTCACGGATTTGTCTGAAAATTGTTATTTGTAGGTCATATTGGGTCCTAGTTCATGTAGCGAAATGTGGTATTATGGGTCCAAGCTTTGGTATAGCCCCCATATAACGGTACATCACGATGTTCGGTATTTTAATGGTTTTTATCACATTTTTTAACGGATTTGTCTAAAAATTGGTATTTGTTGGTCATAATGGGTTTCGGCTGCGGTGGCGAAACATTATATGTATAGGTTCACGTATTTGTATAGCCCCATATAGCTGCACCTCCCTATATATGTCAAAAATTGGTATTTGAGGGTCACAATGGGGTATTTATTATTTACCCTAAGATGGAGGGTATTATATTAAAAGCTCGGCCCGGTTGAACTTAATGTTTTTTTACTTGTTGGAATTTCAATGGCTTTACCCCGAGCTCATTTTTCAATATTTACCGAATGGAATATTGCGATATGTTCAGCTCACGAGCCATTTTGCTGATGTTGCGTTTTCTTCCGTCCACATCCTTGACGTCGGACTACGCTACCTGTATCAGGGTAATGAGCGAAGATACGAGGCACAAAAGATTTATTCACATTTAAATGCTAAAGTCCTCTAACGATAGCCACTTGAGGTGATCTCAAGCAAACGCTTCAGTCCAAAATACCGCAGAACAACATTCGGCCAGCGTTTGATGGTTTTATTGGCCGTTTGAAGGCCATAATTAGTGCCAAAGGTGACCAATACGAACAAATCTAGACTTATCCTAAAATTTGATGATATTTCCGACATTTTTTGCTTTCATTCAATAAAATTTAAAAAAAAAACTGTAAAAATTATGGCGGTTGGCTTTGTTGCAGTTTTTTTTAATATATGTTCGTAGGGACAACATGTGCTCTATTCCAGAACTGCAAGAATATAAAACTTTTTTCTACAACAACCGATTTTTCCTTGCAGGTTCTGGAAGAGAGCAATGCTGATTGTGCCAGTCGACCTACTGGACTTCAAAAACACATTTCTTCGCTTTTATACCATACACCACATAGTGGTAAGGGTATTATGTATGTTACATTTGAGGATCTTTATAGAATCACTTTCTGAGTCTGCATGTAGTTTTGTGAACAAAATTCAGGTCGCATTTATTATCCAATTGAGATGATATTTTCCAAACAATATTTGTTTGACCCAAAGACGAACCCTATTGAAATTGGTGAGAATTGGTTCAGATTTTGATATAGCTCCCATATATATCTTCAGCCGATTTCGGGTTAATTGTGCACCAAATGACCAATATCAGTCCAATGACTTAAATGTGATGAAAATCGGTTCAGATATGCGATTTGGTGTTTAAATCCCTCACATTCTTAATATGCACCCCACCAGAATGCTATTTGGTACCAGATATCTTATAGAGCTCGAAAATACCTTTGCCCAATTTTATCGAAACCGGCTCAGATTTGGATATAGCTCCCATATATTATTATTGCTATTTTAGATTTATTATGCAAATAATGGCTAATATCTGCCCAAATGGAGTGAATTCCACGTTTCCATTTGGTGGAACTCGGCTCCGATATATATGTTTTTTTTTTAATATAATCCTTTTCGAAGTGATATCATGCACTCTAAAGCAATGTTATTTTGTTTTTTGTAAAAATGTCTCCGTCAAATATGATTAAAATCGATTCAGAATTGGATATGCTTCCACTATATAGTTCCGTCCGAAACCAAATTATAACTTCTTTAAGCCAAAGGTTAATAGGTGGTATGATCTACTTCAAATAAATTCTTTTGTAACGGGTACTCGGCTCCGCCGCCTCTTGGCATTTCCTTACTGATTAAAGAATCACACTTGATTGTTTGCGTACATTTTATTATGTCTTCTTTTTAAATGTTAAAAATATCAACAACTGTATGATATTTGTCAGTATATTAAGCCAGGATATACTTATCCAACTCTTTAAATTTTAGACATAGTTTGTTGTTTTTGGAAATTTTTTTGGTAATTTTGATCGAAAAAAAATAATTTTTCTATTTTGCGGAGAAATAAATCGTTACAAAGGGTGTCCCAACTAAAACGTAATTTCCAATTTTTGATAAAACACAGATATTTAAAAAAACTAGTAAGGAAGCAGTAAGTTTGGCCGTGCCGAACTTTGAATACCCTCCACCATTTGGAAGAAATTTGCAAATTTTCAAAAAAGTTCGTTGAAAAATACTGCTATAATCAAAAAAATACCGAATAAAGGAAGTTACCGTTATATTGGGGTCTATACGAAGACCTGGACCTGTACGATATTCAAATACGAAACTTGAAACAATTCCGATGAATAATGTTGCTAAAATCTTCAAAATACCAAATATAGGGTGTCAGTCATAGATGTTAGTACCCATAATGAACTTCAAATATGCAATGTGGATTCAATTCGTCGGCTTATTCGCATAAACCATCAACTTCAAAAAATCGCAAAGAAAAAATCTAAAGTTGTTACATTGCAACACGTCCGGATAATGACTGTCGTAGCAATTGAATTGTTTCTTTGGCTCAATGGCATGTGGCGCCGTCCTGTTGAAACCATATGTCCTCCACATTCATTTATTCAATTCTAGGCAAGAAAAATGTGGTTATCATTTCACGATACCGATTTCACTATTACGTTCTAGTTGAGACATCTTTTAGATATCTAGAATAGCAGCGATAATTGGCTGCTAAAAATTCTTTAAAAATGTTGCCCATTAATGAGCTACGTCCAGGATTTAAAGTCCAGCACGTATTGAAATTAGCATTACAGTGCAACTGCTATTAAATATTTGAATTCAGGGCTAAAGTTGCACACGATCAGATTTTCAGCTCGGAAAATAACACAAAATAGCAGTGAACGGCTGTAACTAAATTGAAATTAACCAAAAAGCCTAGCACCAAAAAAGCAGCACGGCGGCTACTGCTTAGCTCGGTTTTTAGCCAACAAAAACAAACGTTCATTTTTGAGTTTTGTATCGCCTATAAACATTTCACGACGTATGAAATGCGAAAAAAGCGCATTTTTTTATACATTTGATATTTTCATACATAGACAGTGCGCAAATATTGTTGAAGTCTTTTAATTTATGTCTATTTTAGTTCTATACGATATTATTCAACAATTTCAGAAGAAAATATTGGCAAGTTACAATTCAAAAATAAACTTGGATTAGCTATCGAGCTCAATTAAATATGTGCATGTTTTATTAATTTGTACATTGATAACACACAACCATAAAAATATATTATCGGCTGCTGTCAAAAATAGCAGTAGCCGAAATGAGAGCTATTGCGCTATTCGTGTGCTAAATTTGTTGTTTCACTGACATGTGACTATTTTTGGTTACTAACGAGTTAAATAGCTGATCACGTGCAGCTTAAGCCGTGGCTGCAAATATTTTATAGCTAAGACTAATTTCATTTGGTGCTAGCTTTTAACCCTGGTTCTTTTATTACAATCAAAATAAGTTTTCTTCTTTTCATCAAACTTTCTCAAACCTATACTCATTGTACATGATCGCTAGGTCCAGTTGTTCCTATCACATCAATACTTTTCATCAATCTTAAATCCTCTAACTGGCATTATAAATTATTTCGTAATACAGAATAAAATAACCAGTTTGTACATTTTATGCAAATAACATAATTTTCTTTATCGATATACTAAAGCATACAAAACAATATGAACTTAAAATTTATATATATTTTAGGATTTAGTCATTACCATTTTCGACGTTTATTTCCGAAGGTTCATCAAAATTGTAGGATGAATTGGCTCTTTAAGTCTTTTGTATTTCATTAATGGCGTAACATAAAATCGGCATGTTTTTCTACATTTCGATTGTAGTGTAAAGCTGGAAAAAAGTTTAGATACCAGCATTAAGGTGCAATAACAAGTCTTTTAGGTTTATGAAAGATCTATTGAGGCTGCAGGTGTTGTCACATCCATATCGAAATATCGACAGGAACATGATGATACGGTGTTATGAGAGATCTATTGAGTTTATGAGAGATCTGTTGAAGCTATAGGATTTGTCACATCCATATCGAAACATCGACAGGAACATGATGATACGGGACACTCGGCATTTTGTCTAAGAAACAAAAAAAATTGTTCCAGATATATAATTATTTTTAAATAGTTCTGACAATGAAAGTGTGAATCGACTTACTTGAACCATTGCATCAAGTGTTCAGTATGACCGCCGTGACGACAAGTTTGACACCATGAAAACCATTTGGAGAATGGTTTCGACGGGACTCCTTGACTTTCGTTTCCCCCCTCACCGGCTGTATAGGCATTTAGCGTAGTACCCATATGCAATAAACACAGGGAACAACGGGGCAGTGGTTTGCGACAACTTGGGCAGGACGAAAGCTACATGAGCAAAAGGTTTTATTATCGATATACCTACATTTGGGAGGAAAATAATACAATATTTCAGGTTCATACCTTATTTACATTAGAGGAAACATTGCGCATACGAGCATCTTCCTGTAAGGCATTTGAAACCGATTTTCCACAAAAATTACAAGATAAATAAACGGTGCGTGGACTGCGAATGGAAGATCGTAAATTTGCAATTTTTATTTCCAACTCGGCTCTTTTCTCCCAAAATCCCCACGAATTTAGGCAATCCATGTAGCTGTAACGGCAGAGAACTCGTTAATTTATGCACTGTTGGACAGTAAAAAAAATCATACCTTGTTATCCAATATTGTATTCTAAAATCGTTAAAGAGTTCGCGATGGAAATAATTTATGGCAATAAGTGCCACTGTTTGTATATCGAATGTAGAATCCATGTATGACTGCAAAATATTTATGCCCTCCTGGGACTCTCCAGTAAGTAACAAGCCATTAAGGTCTCCTTTTTCTACGGATCTTTGAATTTGCAGTTTGACATATTCCGCCAATTTTGACTCCGATAAATATTTACATGCGAATGCCATACGATCAGCTAAGGAGATGCCTTCTTTTTCTTCCGCCTGAAATTATAAAGATGTTAGGGGGTATTTATAAAACTGGCAGCATTATATGAACATTTTGTATGTTCTAAAGTTTAACAAGAATTCCTCGTTTTAATCGAACTCTTTACATACCAAAACGGAGTCAAAGTTGTCATTGTCTGCAACAAGAAATGAAAAAATGGCTCTAAGATGGGGATCTTTGATTTGTTTGTTAGCTAGTGATCGTTGATTCCGCCAAGCAGTGCTGGTACGATCGGCATTGAAACAAGAAAGAGCTATGGCAGCAATACGGAACATACTCGGATCGCGAGACTGATCGACAGCTTTGGATAGAATGTCACAAGCAGCCAGAACTTTCAAGTGAAAAACATAAATCATTGCTGCCCGACTGAATTCCTAATAAAATTATATAACAGTTTAAATTATTTAATTCAAAAACTTTATTTGAAATAACTAACCTTGTTTTCGCACAAGGTATTCACAAAACGATCCAATTCCTGTTCTGATGGCCATCCACACAGCTTTAATGCGGTATCGCGTTGGTCGCTCCTGAAAGTATTCGGAATTGGATTATTTGTACATACATGCTGCTTTCAAAAAATTACCTATAGCACACTAAATTACATGCATTGTTTATAAAGTCTGGCCATTGTAGAACGTGAGACTCTATTCTTGATGTATTCATAAATGCCTCGGAAGTATGACTCAGACCGATACCTAAAACAGTTTTCAAACCGATTAACTTCTCTTCGCTGCGATAAACGTTTGCCAAGCTTAACCAAACTGTCTTAAGGTAAGATGTCAAGTGAAACTCTCCATTCAAACGTTTGCCAGCCATTTTCAGACCGTAATCACACAACGCCCTCTCTCTGGTCCATTCAACCAGGTCCTCTTCTTGAAGATCTTTGTCGACAACATCGAAATTCAATGGGGATTTGGCATTGCTCAATTCGGATGAGCTGGTTTGACTAGTTTGGCTGCTATGTACTGGCGTATTCGGAGCTGATAGGGGCTTTTGTAGCAACAGTGGCAGTTTCTTGTGATTACTATAGGCCGTTAATATAGATAACGGCAAATGAAAATCCATAATGCTTCCAGTCTCGGAAAGCAAGAGAGCTCTCTCGAAATCCATATGATGCCATGACAATGCAGCAAGAGTATATCCCTTATGGGAGGCGTGGTGTTTCGTATGAAATGGCAACAATTGTTTCTTAACGTGGTAAACTTCACGGCTCTTTTCCACATCCACACAACGTATATCATATAGAGTTATGTACGGCGATTCTCGTTGTAGCGACGACAACAAACTGGATCTTGTTGGACACCAACTTAAGTGTAGGTGATTCTTAGCCGATTGTATTTGCAACAAGGGCCGATCGATAGCACGCAGATCCCACAGCATTATCACCGAATCAAAGAAACTACATAGGTAATTGCCATTCGGTGCTACTCCTAAACCGTAAACAGTTTTGGTCTGTATGGACTGACAGGTGGTAGTGCTTTCTGAAGTGATTCAAACTTTTGTTAATAGAAACCAGAGAATATGCACATAACTTACGTCTTAGATCGTAGAGTTTTATTTGCTTCTGGTTCATTCCAGCTATGAGAATTTGATGATTTTTATCCCAGCATAATGAATGAGCCGATTCAGATACTCCGAAGAAACTTGATTCTGGAAGTTTATAAAATGTGAATAGATATCTTATTCAAAGAGATATACACACTCAACTTGTGTGTTACACATGCTACGGATACAAAGTGCCAATTTTCAACATGTTCGGCATTGACATATATATTGGGATATGTATTTGCCATCGGCTTAAGTTTCATCGCATGCAGAACCATTATTTGGGAGCTATAGAAGTTAACTTACCACTCTCCTTTGGTGGTCCCCGTTCTGTGTCCCAAATTGTAATGCAGGAATCAGAGCGATGACGATCATGGCCAATAGCTAACATGTTAGGATTATTCTCACTCCAAGCCAAACAGAGGCACATTCGTTGCTGACGGGGAGCTACAGGGCCACAAAATGACATTTAGAATGATTTAATATTGAATACCTATGAATACTCACTGTATTCAGGATCTTTTTCCATAACTCCATGGAAGTCGCTGATACCAACTTTGCCATTTCCCAAACCAACAGCAATTATTGGACGATTTTTGTGAAATGATGGTTGGACACATCGAGCGTATTCGTAGTGGTTTTCGATAGCCTCCAAATTGGCAGGAATGTTTGGCAAACGGGCTACAATGGACAAAAGATTCGATGCGTATTAACATTTGCGACATATGTTTCTCAAAATGCATTGCTCACCGCTAGCTTCAGACTCGACTTTATTCCGTCCTACCACATATAATTTGATTTCCTGTCCACCCCATGTTACAAATTTGTCGGGAATATTTGGAAACCAGCTCAAACCATGGATGTTTCCACCGCTCATGTTCATCGTTATCTTTTCCGTTCCAAAAAACAAACAATCTAAAGCAGACAACGAAGCCAATTGATTTTCTCGACTGCGGCAGCCACAACCAAATTTCGCCGACTGATGACTTACACTGCCTTTACAAAAGGCAGAACAATGCAATTTACGCAATAGTTGTCAAGAACCAATTGCGAAATGATTAATCAAATGGCTATGATTTGCTTCACAGCTAGAAAAACCGAAAATTGTTAATATTGTTTGCTAGTAGAAGGCACGTGTTAGTAAAAAAACGCTAAACGAATAAATGAGTTAGTTTATTGGGTATTATCATGGTAGAATTAAGAAGCTAAAGTCATGCAATCATAGGTTTGCTTTTTTACAATTATTCATTTGACAACATCTCATTGTCAACAATTATATTTATAAATCTATTTTATGCACAGAAATAAGAGGAACCTTTTTTTATTCAGCGAACTTTGAAAAGGTAAATTACAGAAAATGTAGAGATGGATTTTCAGTAACGAGGCCCATTTCCATCTTAACGGCTTCGTGAATAGGCAGAATTTCGAATTTGGGATGAGGAATCTACTCGAATGATTCTCGAGAAGCAAATACATCCTCAACGTGTGGGTTTTGGGCTGGAGGAATCATTTTTACGAAAATGTGACAGGTCAAGCGCAAACAGTCAATGGTGTTCGGTATGCTGAAATGATAACAAGTTTTTATTTCTTGTCTAGAATTGAAAAAATGAATGTGGAGAGCATGGTAGAACTAAGAAGGTAATACGGCAACAAAGACAAACGCCATAAGTTTTATTTATTTATTTTTTTTTAATTTTATTGAATGAAAGCAAAAAATGTCGGAAATAGCATCAACTTTTAGAATAAGTTTAGATTTGTTCGAATTAGTCCCCTTTGGCACGAATTATGGCCTTCAAACGCCCAATGAAACCGGCATACGCTACCCGAATGTTGCTCTGCGGTATTTTGGCCCAGCGCTTGCTTGAGGTGATCGATACTTTGGTATTTTTTAGTGCCAACCTTGCTTTCCAAAATACTCCAGACACAATAGTCCAACGGATTGGTAGCCGGAGATTTTGGTGGTCATTGTGCGCTGGAAATGAAGCGAAATGAAGAACCTTATTTTGTAACCATTCTTGAGTGGCGCGTGCTGAGTGCGAGGGTGCTGAGCCCTGTTGGATTGTCCAAGGTCTGCGGCCAAAATGTTTGCGTGCCCAAGGCTTTAATACACCTTCCAGAATATTTTCGCGATAATATTCGGCATTTATTCTGATGCCACGGTCGATTAATATGAAAGGAGAGCGACCATCGGCTGTTATGGCGGCCCACACCATCATCATGGCCAGCGCTTGAGTTCTGATGGCCAACCGAAGGTGCACATTTTCAGCTGACCTCTGGCAAGTAAGCACGATCATTTTGTTTGTTTACAAACTGCTAGACAACGAGTGTTTTTTCATCGAAGAAAACCAAATTCGGCAGTTCAACACTTTCGGTCAAGCGAAGCAACTCTTTAGCTCTTTTGAGTCTATTTTCTTTCTGTTGGGGTGTAAGTTCTTGCACTTTTTGGAATTTCAATGGCTTTACCCCGAGCTCATTTTTCAATATTTGCTGAATGGAATATTGCGATATGTTCAGCTCACGAGCCATTTTTCGGCCACTGGGTATAGATCAAGTCGCTTCTTTACTTTTCGAAGCATTTCTGCGATGTTGCTGTTTTCTTCCGTCCCCTTCCTTGACGTCGGGGTTACGCTACCATTATCAGGGTAACGAGCGATGGTACGAGACACAAAAGATTTATTCACATTTAAATGCTGGAGTGCTCTAACGATAGCCACCAAATATAAAGAAATCACACTATCACGCTTGAATTCCTTGACGAATAACATTTTTTTCTGGAAAATTCTCAACAAAATGCTTTTATACGCTTGTAAACAATATAATGAGCTGTCACTGGAATAATTTTAACAGCTGTAGGACGAGTGGTTTAGAAATGACAGCAGTCTGAAGTTGGTTGCAGATTTTTTTCATCTCACCCTGTATGTTTACATTTTTTTTCAAATTTACAACACCTCATAGTCAAAATCTTTATTCATAAACCCATTGAATACACACAAAAACAGAGATGGGAATTGTTTATATACTGTAAAATTTGACAAGGTATATTACAGAAAATGCAGAGCTGGAAATGCTAATTAGAAATGAGGTTACCTTTATTTCAGTGTATCATGGTGGAGGGAATGTGGTTTCAATAACACGGCGCCACGAGTCCTACAGCCAGAGATACAATACAATTGCTGTATCAGTAAGTACCGGGCGTGTTATTTCGTGTTTTGATGACAAAATTGGCCGGCTGGATTGTGCGATGTAACACATTTCGATTTTTTTCTTTGCTGTTTTTTGAAGTCGATGTTTACGCGAATAAGTCGATGACGATACAGGCCTTAAACGCTGCATTAATGAAATGTCGCAGTATTTATGCAAAACGGTAATTGAAAATGTCATTAAAAGGTCGCGTGTGTGCCAGCTAACCCGCGGCGACCATCTGCACAATATCTTGTTCCATACATAACCTCATTCCGTCTACTTTACAATATAATAAAAACATATATTGTTTGCGCCAATGCGGGGTAAAGGGGGAATATGCAAAGCAAACCAATACAAAATAGAATAAATAAAAACACAATAGCGGGGTTAGTTTTAAATATAAATAAGGCAAAAGCCAGGCTTTATTGTAATAATAAATAAATAGGGTTTTGGTAAACAATATTACCTTTTTGCACAATAGCGGGGGAGAGCCTTCGTTCGTATCGGGGCGATAGAAGAAGAGAGTTAATAACCAAAACAACGATCCCAACATGAAGTAAGTCGGCGTTGGCGCCATTCGCCACTCGTTGAAATCTGTTGACATTGACAGATTTCAACGATGTTAATCATTTACATGTAATTAGGCGTTAACCCATTGTTAACGTTGCAAAACAATAATTTTCAATCTAAATTAAACATGCCGCCCACCTTGCAACATATTGGGATGTTGTAACTAAAATACAATACATAATTCTATTTTTCTTTCGTTTCTTTTTTTTTAAATTTAATTCAATTCTTTTTTATCTTCAATTTCTTTATTTTTAATTCAATTCATTTTTTCAAACAACATTGTGTAACACTATATGTTACATATGCCCGACAATACCCAACCAAATATGGTGTAGTGGGCTATCGGTAACCCTGGCGTCGCATGCACCCAATGTGTTACAACCCTGGCATAGACTTCCGGCCCGAGTACCAGGGCCACCCGACCAGGCCTATTAAAATCAGGATCTGCCAAAGGAAGACCAAGAAAGGAGTCTTTTATGCGCTCTGGGATTGCCGCTGTAGGCATACGCGCATGGTCCAGATGGGTCACCACTGCCACAATTGACAAGGACTGACTCCGGTCGTAAATCGAGGTGAGACTAAGCCTACATATTTGGCTACCATCGATTCTTGAAGTAGGGATACGAAGACTATGCACCAAAGAGGAGCATATCTGACTCTGCCTACTACATTGGTCCAATACCGCCCTCACGATAGAGGGACGGCCAAAAGCATCAACTTTGACTAACAAAGTCGGGGAAATGCAGATACCAGACTGGAGGGACAACAAGCCGACCAGTCCAACCTGCGAGGGGGAAGCATTTTCTGTCGGACGATAGTAAGGACTATGACGCGAACGTATGCGGACGACGCCGACTATTACTTGTGGGTTTAACCACGGTCTTCGAATCAACGTGAAGAAGAGTGTGGTGATCTTCGTTGCATACGGCACACTTTCTTTTACTTTGACAGTCCCTGGCTTGGTGGGATTTCGCTAAACACCGTATGCAATCATTAAATTTAACAACAACTCGACGACGCATGTCAACATTCATGACGCGGAAGTCGCTACATCTATCCAAAGGGTGCATGCGGTCACAAAGGCGACATTTATGGGAGGCCGCAGATGAATCCCGAGAGGATTCGGACCTACTAAATTTGGCCGACTCCTCCAACGACTGAGGAGTGGCAACCAGAGCCGCAGATGGACCCGAAGATCCGGACTCGGTTCGCGAATTTTCAATTCTGGGGTTAGCAGGGACCGGAGCCGCAGATGAATCCACCGATAAGGATTCGGACTCGGTTTGCATAGGTACAGCAGATGCGAGGGCCGCAGATGAATCCCGTTTGGATTCGGACCCAGGCTCAGATATTGTCACAGCAGCAATTGGTTCCACCAGGGCTGCTTCTACGGCAGCAGAGGACAAAGTAGTATCAGTTGGGGGACAATCCGGGGTAGCTTTGACGTCATCAATATTCAAGAGTTCGTCTTCCGTGTACAATTTCATCGACATACTATATAACGAGAAGAGAACCATTCTAATTACTTATCGAAGGGTCGTCGGCCAGAACGACCAACTTGGCGATGGGCCGTCTTACAACGCCGTTCTCGGTTCGGACGTCCGCGACTCGAACGTGACCGTCAGTTCCCGGATGAACATTTACGACACGGCCTAATTTCCACGACGTTGGCGGAAGCTGTTCATGACGAACAACAACTAGATCGTCTATGGCTAACTCTCGCTCTGGAAATTTCCATTTATACCTCATGTGTAAATGTTTCAAATATTCCTCTTTCCACCTCAAACTAAACTGGTGGGCGAGGGCCTGAACTTTTCTAAACCGATTAACTAAGCTTAATGGTTGCTCTGTGATGAGAGGTTCAGGCGGTGCTAACAAAGGGGCCCCAATGAGGAAGTGTCCTGGCGTTAACGCGACAATTTCGTCCGAACTGTCCGACATCGGACAAAGAGGACGCGAGTTCAAACACGCTTCTATCCTAGCCAAAACTGTTGCTAATTCTTCGAACGTGAACTTAAGATTTCGAGCTTGCTTTCGAAAATGTAGTTTAAAGCTCTTGACTCCAGCCTCCCATAACCCTCCCATATGAGGAGCACCAGCAGGTATAAAATGCCACGATAGGCCATGATCTGATAACGTGGAGGAGACTGAGCCAGCACTTTCTTGGAGGAATTCTCTAAAACCTCTCTGAATTTCCCGCGAAGCGCCAACGAAATTTGTTCCATTATCCGAAAAAATAGAACGGGGACAACCACGACGAGCAATGAATCTATGCAACGCGGCCATGAAATTAGCAGTCGACAAATCGGAT